AAAATACGTATTTTTATAAAAAGTAAAATGTCAATTATGTGGTAAAATATATAATTTATTGGAACTGAGCTGGAAAAATAAATATGAAGGTGAATTAAATGATAAAACATGAGGTAAAGTTCTCCTTTTTAATTTAAGTGGTGCATTTTAAGTGTATTCATTTATTTATTGGTCGATTTATAGATTTCTGCTTTTATTTCTAATTCTAACAATTTCAGTCCTCCATAGAGAACAGAGTTAAACTTTTTATTTTTCCCACATTAGAAGATGTTATTTAGTTTTGTATCACCTCTGATTTTCATCAGGTTGAGACCAAATTAACTGAAATGATTCATTTTTTTTACTGTTTTCTTGATCAAATAAAGCCAGTTTTCAGTTTTGTGGAGTGACCTGCAGGACACAGTTTAGTTTGATGAATGAGACCAAAACTCTAACTTTATATTTCTAAACATGATTAAATCTTTGTTAAAGTCTCACTGTGTGTTAAAGAAATTTATTTCTACTGTGACGTAGATTTGAGTAAATACTTTTAAAGAGAACGTTTAACTGAAAGGTATTGAGAAAATAATTCACATTCATGTTTTTTTAAATAGAAAAATAGTTAAATGTAGAAAAACATACATGTATGCTTTATTATTATTTTCCCATAAAGAGAGGCAGGTCTGGTAGAGAGGTTTTATTTCCTAAAAGAAATCCTGTTTTTATAATTTGTGTATATTTTGGAAAACTGCTGCATTTATCAGAAGGGACTGAGAAAATGCAACAGGTTTGCCTTTTGAAAATGTTTTTGCCGTCACAAATAAAGACGTTTTGTGTTGTGCAGCTGAGACGAATGCAGGAGATGATTGCCAAGATGCAGGCCCAGATGCAGAACCGAGAAGGAGACGGAGACGTGTGAGAGGTCTTTGGTGAGACGAGAACCCCCCTAGGGTCCGCTATATTCTAGTATAACTATATCCAGGGTTGCACATAAAATGTTTGGTCTGGTTCTCAGGGGAGAACCTAGGGTTGTTGRTTGGTGCTCACTCATATTTTCCTTCACTCATTTAACACATTTATCTAGAGGGGCGTCAGGTCATCTAACGTCCCCCTGTTCTGTTTTATGACTCCTATCAGCTGCAACGTCTCAGGACATCATGTTAAATCAGTCCACCAAGTTTTTATTTTATTTTTTTACTCTGCATAAATTTTGTAAACTACCTAAGTGGCCAAGGGTCTGGGTGTATGTCATATAAACATGACAAACTGAACATTTCATGGTTAAATGTCTTTTAGACTAGCATGTCCTTCAGATGGACAACTCCTGTTTGGTCTTCTGGATCTTCAGCCTTGGTTAAACCAGCTCTCCACACTCTCCAGACCAAGCAGCAAATATCTGTCTTTTACATAGAGCAAAATAACTTAAAACATACAAATGTTTAATTTGTTAGATTGATTTGTTTTTTAAAAGACTATTTTATTCAAAAAT